TTTAGATTTTGAAATATGAATAAGTGCCTTGAAAAATTGAAATATGAATAAGTGCCTTTAAATATTGAAATATGAACAAGTGCCTTTAAATATTGAAATATGAACATGTGCCTTTAAATATTGAAATATGAACATGTGCCTTTAAATATTGAAATATGAATAAGTGCCTTTAGATATTGAAATATGAACATGTGCCTTGAAATATTGAAATATGAACATGTGCCTTGAAATATTGAAATATGAACAAGTACCTTTAAATATTGAAATATGAACATGTGCCTTTAAATATTGAAATATGAACATGTGCATTTAAATATTGAAATATGAACATGTGCCTTTAAATATTGAAATATGAACAAGTGCCTTTAGATATTGAAATATGAACATGTGCCTTTAAATATTGAAATATGAACAAGTGCCTTTAAATATTGAAATATGAACATGTGCCTTTAAATATTGAAATATGAACATGTGCCTTTAAATATTGAAATATGAACATGTGCCTTTAGATTTTGAAATATGAACATGTGCCTTTAAATATTGAAATATGAACAAGTGCCTTGAAATATTGAAATATGAATAAGTGCCTTGAAATATCGAAATTTAAATAAGTGCCTTGAAGTATTGAAATATGAACAAGTACCTTGAAATATTGAAATATGAATAGTGCCTTAAAATATTGAAATATGAATGAATGCCTTGAAATATTGAAATATGAAAAAGTGCCTTGAAATATTGAAATATAAACAGAACACTTAAGTGCCTTGACTTATTGAAGTGTGAATAAATCATTATTCAATACAAGCATGGTTTAGATTTTGAAATATGAATAAGTGCCTTGAAAAATTGAAATATGAATAAGTGCCTTTAAATATTGAAATATAAACAAGACACTTAAGTGCCTTGACATATTGAAGTGTGAATAATTGTCTTGAAATATTGAAATATAAACAAGTGCCTTTAAATATTGAAATATGAATATGTGCCTTGAAATATTGAAATATAAACAAGACACTTGAAATATTGAAATATTGAAATATGGACAAGGGCCTTGAAATATAGAAATATAAACAAGACACGTGAAATATGATGTATTAAACCAACCTTGAAGGGTCTAAGCTAGGACTGAAGTAATCTGGGTCTGGGGTTCTCAATTCCTAAAAAAAAGTTTTCAAAGTTTAATTTTAAGGTGAGACAATAATAATTCAACTTTGAAAATTTAATTAATTAAGTTTGATAGATGTAAAATCGCACCTTGGATATAAACTCTGTATTTGGTGTCTGTAGTGATCCAAAGCTTGGTCTGAACTGCAGATCTATCTTTAGCCGATTTCTCTGCATGAATTCGGCCACAGAATCAGAAAAATCGTCCTTTTCCGGCCGGACAGAGACCCTGTTCTTCTCTAGAAAGCTGAATGCCTCCTCGACCAGCATGGTGTCGGATATGCTGCAGAGCACCTTGGTCTTCTTCAGCATGCTCTCCACCAACCTGAACATTCCCTCAGGGTTCCTCTCCTTGGCCAGCTTCATGAGAAACCTCATCGAGTCCACCACCTCACGTCGAACCCTCCTGGAAGAAAACATTTTCTCTTTCTCAAAGAACACTATCCAAATCTCACACAGTTTTAGCTATATCTTACAAAATCCATATTTCACATAACATTATCAATATCTCAGTCAAAACTATCCATATCTCACAAAACATTAACTATATCTCATACAATATTATCTATTTCTCACATAACATTATCTATATCTTACATAACAGTATCTATATCTAACACAACATTATTTATATCTTACACAATGTTGTCTATATTTCACATTACATTATCTATATCTCACACAATACTTTCTATATTTCACATTACATTATCTATATCTCACACAATACTTTCTATATTTCACATTATCTATATCTCTATGGACACTCATGGGTAGCATAGGGGTGACATAGGTTGAAAAATCATCCAATATATTTTGTTCTTCTTTATTTTTTTCACGGCTAGTAGATAATAAAACAAGACATACATATATGTGTTCCCTTTAGCCGACCAAACGGCTGGACCGAATGGGCTGACATTTATTGAGGGAACCCATGGGTACCTTGGATAAGATAGGCTAAACAAATTCTAAAATTTGCATTTTTCAGAAATAGAAATTTTGTTCTTAATTTTTTTATTCTACGGGCAACGCCGGGCCCTTCAGCTAGTATATTATATATCTTAAAGGGACAGACCGGCTATGTAAGGTAGTTAAACTGAGTGTGCAGTGTTGTGGACAAATTCTATAGAACTCATTTGAGACATATAATATACTAAGCTTTCTTACGTATCAATTGAACACACACGTTTGATATCTGCTTCTCCGAAAAATTAATTTCAGAATTATGACATGAGGAGACGGAGGATCACTTGAAATTACGTCTAAATATTCTTTTTTACACATTTTTCTGCATCTATACCTCAAGTTTAAAACATAATTTGTAAGAGGAATAAAACTACAAGTACACCCCTGAAGACTAAAAAGTGAGTATAAAGCTTCTTAACAAATATAATCCGTCATCTTTAAGACAACTCAATATCTTCTTTCTTTCTCTAGCTTATCACAACGAACAGGAGAGGGGTACTAAGAATCAGAGACAATGCAGGAACGACGATATCCACATTATTGGCTTAGTGGGTACAGTTGTGAATCAAACATTAAAAACAGTCCTTTTAAGATGAAATAAAGGATAAATAATAATAGTTGTAAAAAGATGTAGTATAAAAGTATTATTATTATCAATACTAAGGAAAAGAATGAATATATGTATATATAAGAGGAATATAATAAAAAAAGAGAAAGAGATAAATGATAGTTTAAGATGAAATTACTGAGCTGAACAGATTTTAAAATTCAAGCTATGACCTTACAAGATGGAAACGATTTCGGGACTAAATTGTAGAATGTCATTCAGGATTTATTTAACTTTAGGAAGATTTATTTTAGTACTTGATAACATTCAATACGTGGAATCTAATAGAAATGGGAAGATCTAGTGAAATATTTGCTTTGCAACAAATATATTTAACTAAAAGCTAGTAGAAAGGAGTTTTTGTCACACACATAAATTTTCTAATCACTATATCTTTGCAACCTGAAACTTAGATATTTTAAACTAAGATTTTGTTATCAACAGAATTCAAAGTTTAAAATATCAAAGGTTTAACTTCACTGGGTTGCAAAGATTTAAGGCTTAGAAAATCAGAGTTTTAGACAAAGACTCACCTTAATCAAATCACATGGAAATATTCTCGTTTTTCCAAAAAAAGGACAATATTTTCCTTCATTCCGAATGAAAGTTCTTCATCAAAAAAATGTAAATCATCTACGAGTATGGCTCAACTCCCCCCCCCCAAAAAATAAAAAAATAAACCAACCTAAGAAAAAAAAAACTCGTTGGTGAAATTTTGTTTCGGGGATGGTATTTTCATTAATATATTTGATTAAGAATTGATCGTGTAAAGTCTAAAAACTATTTCAAACAGATAAGAGGTTTAAACTAAAGCTTAAGAGTTGAAAAATTCCGGACACAACTATTCTAGATTGAACCGATTACTGGAGAATTGTCGGATGCCAAGCCATGATTTTATTTAACAAAGCCTAGATTTATGGTCGTACTTTAAACCATTCAAATTCACAAAAGAAGGAGTAGAACAATTTAAAATATGGCGCGGATGAAAAGATCAATCCATAAATAAACGAAAAATTATGAATTCACATTTTTAGAAAATCTTTAATGGTGAAAACTTTTAATATCTTGAACCATAACTTCTGCCAGATCAAAAAGTAAAAGTTTAAAATATCGAAGGTTTACACCATCGCGTTACAAAGATATAATGATTTAAACAAACGAGTAGAAAGAGGAAAAAAGGTTCTAATTAAAAAAATTCATTTCACGTATAAAGGTTTTGCTCGCAAATTCTAAAATATTTTGCAGTTTGCACTGAACAGATTTCATTTAATTAAATTACAAGAAAAATACAAAACAAAATAAAAAAAAAATAAGAAAAGAATTCTTTGCAAAAAGTTAAAGGTCGCAGTAACTAAATTAGAAGGTTCGACTTATCTAACAGTTTTGAGTCATAGTAAATGGAGGTTAACATTATTAATATTTAAGAAAAGGAGAAAGATTTATCCATTTCTGAACAATTTCATGCTTTTTAACTTAACTCCACCAAAAGCACATTTTCTGATAAAGAAAATGATCGTGAAAAATAAAAAGTGAAGTTATAAAATAAATAAAAACCAAATTATTCATCACATGACACTAGTTTTATATCAATCCGATGTTTCTGTGTGAAGTAAATGACGCCTGTTAGAAACCGGGTTCCTCCCGCATTATTTACTGCACGGGAAGCCGTAGTACATTGGAATTTCCGAGCCGGGTCAACCTTTCCGGTCCCAGTTTGTACTGTACCAAGCTCTATAGACAGGACTAGCCGGTGCAACAAGGTTGACGTGGTCAGGCTTTAAGCTTCATATAGGTTGAATTTACTTTTACTAAAGGGCAGAAGTGCGTGACTGTTTATAAAGAAAGGTTTACATCAAATTCTCTTTACAGAATTAAAAAAATTACCGATTCATTCCGTAAATATTCAGCTATGGTTCATCACATGATCATTTTCTATTATACAACGCATGTTATTTGTTGTTGTGACGACTTCTCTACAAAAGTTTCCGATTTATGCAGTAGAGACAGAAGAGAAAATTTACAAAATTTATCTCTTTCAAAATTTCTCCCTTATAGCACAATTTCTTTAAAAAATGTTGTTTTTAACCTGAAACACTACAATAGAACGCAACCTGATAATAATGGAAAACAGTTTATGCGCGCAAACCCGCACACAGTTTATCAATTTTAAACATAGTCACACAGTTTATCAATTTTAAACATAGTAAAGAACAAACCTTATTAATCCCTCGGATCTCGACTTGAGCGCGAATGCTGTGAATGCTCCAACAGTATGAATATCGTAGTATCCACTCTTCCGCAGGGAGGTGTTCTCAACCCAAACTCTAAATATTAAACAGCTATTAACTGATACTGAGTTGCACGGTTTGATCAAATTGTGATAGAGAGGGAGATGATCCTTCAAAGGCTGTTCCGCCTTCCATGGCAGAAATATATGAATAGCGAGAAGTAACCCAGAAGATTTTTTTAAATAACTCAAAAAGTATTGGTCTCAGGCTGTTAAAATTTACTGACTTTTCCTAAATACCCATAGCCCTCCCCTTAGGTCTAAGACCGGGTTTTTAAACTAGCTGCCTGAGTCCTCGGCACACTGCCTGAGTGACTACTTTTTCCTGTAACAAACTAAATCTTAGTTTTGACCCAATTTCGGTTGTCAGATTTTGATAATCTTTAGCTTTTTGAAAAGCCTATGACATAAGGAAACGGATTGCACAAGTTTTGAAAACGAAATGTTTTCAAAATATTTGCTTACAACCCGTCAACAGAAATTTGCACATTTTTAGTTTTTCTTAATTACACATCAGGTTATTTAAATTTTGCAAATATTTTTGCATTCTTAAAATGGCATGGTCAAGGGTTTTTCAAATATGTATATATATAATTTTTTTGGACATATTTTTTGACAACACTTTTACTACAGTGAAACCCTTAATAACGAATACATCAAAAGAAATCAAAAATGTCGTATTCTTCACTTACTGATAATGGAATGTTGCAGATATTTAGTTTTTTAATTAAATAATCATATAGAGCATTTTAAAACTGTTCCTGTATATTCCATGGCTATTTATCTATTTTCGCAAATACTAAAATTTACGTATAAAACTCATAGAAAAATTGTCAAGACGACATTTGATAAATTCTTCCGATGTATTCGTTATTAAGGGTTTCACTGTATATAAATAGATTTTGCAAAAAAATTACAATTCTTGCAAATTTGCACACTTGTTTGCAGACTTTTAATATTTATTTGTCATCTGCATTAAAAATAATTTATATTCCCACTTTTATTCCTGACTCATACTGTTTCTCATGAAATCTGAGTCATGAGAAACTACTCAGAATCAAAATGGAAGTTTAAAAGTAAAAAGAAAGAATTAACAAACAAAATTATCACGGGTTTTTAAGGAACTGAAAAATCGACTAAAAACTAATTTTTTTTAATCCCCTTATCTTTGCGACCTAATTTTATGTTACTTAATATTTTTCTAACCTTAGATAAATTAGACTGTATATAATATAGAAGAATAAATTTTTAGTTTGAAATATCTATGGTCTACTATGTAAGGCTGTAAAGACTAAAGGATTAGAAAATTAAAGTTAAATGCTGGTAACCATTAATTTTTAAAACGGAAAAGAGGTTTTGCCACAAAGTCTAATTTTCCATTCCATATTTCTTTGCTACCCGCTGTCGTAGACCTTTGATACTTAGATCAAAAATTCTAAATTTTAAATATATGGTTGCAAAAGCTTTATTTTCCGTATATAAACGAAATGAAATATTTAATACCTCTGTAAGTTGAGATTTGTTGGGACAAACTCCAAATTTGTGTCAGATTTATCCGTAGATTTCTTCAAAGTAACTCCTGAACAGTTTATAAGGTAAAATATTTAAGAAAAACCTTGACAATCTATTAAAATATGAAAGTTTAACTCCTGAACAGTTTATTAGGTAAAATATTTATAAAAAAATTTGAACCTCTATTGAAATATAAAAGTTTAACTCCTGAACAGTTTAAAAGGTAAAAAAAAATAAGAAAAAACTTTAAACCTCTATTAAAATATGAAAGTTTAACTCCTGAACAGTTATAAGGTAAAATATTTAAAAAAAAACTTTGAACCTCTATTAAAATATGAAAGTTTAACTCCTGAACAGTTTATAAGGTTTAAAATGTTTAAAATCATAGTGTGATTCTTTTCTAACATCAAAGTTTTTGCCAAAAATGCATTCTAAATATTATTATTTTAATTCCAAATTATTTTCTAGAAGTCACTTCATTTATGTTTTTTTGGGTTACTATTTGTATCCAATATTTACGTAAATTAAAAATTAAAAAAATTTGGAAGTAAATATTAGTTTTATGGTGTACGCAGGAAAAATTATGTTATTGAAAGCAATTATAAAAGCTAAACTTGATAGTGGATACGAAAGCAAAGCGCCCTATAAGAGCCTAAGATGTATTTCATTATAAATTTTGGCTCTAACAGATATAGCCTGGAAAGATTGGTTTACTTTGTTTTGTTTTCTTCTGTCAGAGTCAAAATTTTGCATAATATAATTTTATAAAAGCAAACTTGTAGAGAATAGTATTTTCAAATATGATAAATCTAGAAAATGTTCTTGAAGTTAAATTTTTTAAAGTTTTAATTAGAATGCTCGATTTACACAACGGTACCCTTGAAACCGTTATCTGATCAATAATGTAAAATATTTAGTCAATTTAATAACTTTAAAAGTGGTTATTTATGAATTTTTCCTGCAGTAGAAATGCGCAAGTCACTTTTGCAGAGAAACCGGAATTGAAAATAATTAGTTTAAAAATTCTAAACATTGATATATAATTCATACTTGATTAGACAAAGCTTTTGATACTTCCGTGTAAATCGGAAATCACTGCAAAATTGCCATGGGGACAGTATCAAATATGAAATTGTCATTTCCGGCTCGACTTTGTAAGCTCGATTTGATTCTCTCATGGGCAGCCGTAGCACATTTGAATTTCCGAGCCGGTCAACCTTTCCGGTCCCAGTTTGTACTGTACCTAGCTCTATTGACAGGACTAGCCGGTGCAACAAGGTTGACGCGGTCAGACTTTATGCTTCATATACGTTGAATTTACTTTTACTAAAGGGGCAGAGGTGCGTGCTCTAGTTCTGATTTTGCGCACAACAATGAGATATTCGGATATTAAACTTTCAAAACATTTTTGTTCTTCTCAATAGCTCTTCGATAAGAGGAGTAATGATAATAAATATATGTGATTTCAATCTTACGTCCAGTTTAACAGTCTCTTTAACATTAGTACTAAGTTAATATTGCAATATATATGATTAAATAAACTAAATATATGCAAGGTATTTATATATATATATATATATCCAGGATTCAATTTAGAGATGGGTTTCAATATCTGCATGTATGTACTGACTATATACTGAATACCAGAATAGGACCACAGAGAATATATTCACATGCTCAACCATAAACATGCTGCCTAGATGGAATATCTATGCAAACCATGGAATATTTAGGCATATTTAATCAATTTTAGAGGAATTTAAAGAGACTGTTGTTAATGTTATTTCATGGGACCCTCAAATTAAAGAGTTATATGCACGATTCACAACGGTAGCATTTAACAATTGTCTCTCCTGCAGCATAGATCCGTCCCTATGGGAAAATATTAATTGACAGACGAAGGAGAAAATATATCCGAGATCTTGAAAAAGGAAAATTTACATAGAAAAATATCAATTTTAAGACCTTGTTAGTTTAACAGTTGTAATTGTAAGACACATTGAAACATGAGGAATGGTTAAAACAAACAAAAAAATTTCAGATGTTTCTTGCCAACTTTATAAGAAATATTTTTTTTGAATATCGCGATATAAATTTTTTTTGGCACAACCACCTTAATTACTGTTTTTATCCCTTTTCCTTCTATTTTCTTCTTCGGGTTAAAATTTATTATTTAATTCATGTAAATGAAAACGATCTAAGACCTTACTCCGGTGAAAAAGACGCAACATAAAGGTTGAGTTTGCTCCGGGGAAAAAGACGCGGCATAAAGGTTGGGTTTGCTCCGGGGAAAAAAACGCGGCATAAAAGTTGGGTTTGCTCCGAGAAAAAAGACGCGGCATAAAGGTTGGGTTTGCTCCAGGGAAAAAAGACGCGGCATAAAAGTTGGGTTTGCTCCGGCAAAAAAGACGCGGCATAAAGGTTGGGGTTGCTCCGAAGATATAGACGCGGCATAAACTAGGTTGGGTTTGCTCCGAGGAAAAAGATGCGGCATAAAGGTTGGATTTGCTCCGGGGAAAAAGATACGGCATAAAGGTTGGATTTGCTCCGAGGAAAAAGATACGGCATAAAGGTTGGATTTGCTCCGGGAAAAAAGACGCGGCATAAAGGTTGCGTTGGCTCCGGGGAAAAAGACGCAGCATAAAGGTTGGGTTTGCTCCAAGGAAAAAGACGCAGCATAAAGGTTGGGTTCGCTACGGAGAAAAAGACGCGGCATAAAGGTTGGGTTTGAATGAAAATTAATTTAATTGAGTTTAAAGTGAAGATCACAGGAATATACAGGATTTCAGGAATACTTTGATTCAGGGAGATCTTATGTCTTAGAATTCTAACCGTGTTAATTTCAACTTTATAGTGGGAACTGTGGTTTGGTTTGGGTTGAAGATACATTAATATTCATATTGAAGAGAGGTTTCCACCAGGGTGAGCAAAACTATTTTATCAGTTTCAAATATTTTTTTGCTTCAACATTTTTTGTTGCAGAAAACTTAAATTATTTAATGCTAGTTCACAGATGCAAGTACATACTTTAAAGCACAGATCAATACCGAATATAATTGAAATTGTCCAATTAATGAGTACAGTTCCACGTTTGATAATCCCATTGACCAGGTTTACCAAAATATAAGCAATTAAAAGGTCAAATGACCAACGAGGTTCATATGACTACCACAACGATTTTAGTATGCAAAATGCCAAAATGATAAGAAAAAAATGGATCAAAAACATACCACCCAACAGCTCAGGTCAATAGAGTGTAAAATAACCAACAGTCAATAGTTTGTACTATGACCAGGGTGACCATCCAACTGATCAATAGCGTAACCACTCCAGGGTAACCACCTAATAGGTCAATAGTATGTAGCAAATTAACCAGGGCGACCACCCAACTGGTCAATAGTTTGTAATATGGCCAGGGTGACCACCCAACAGGTCAATAGTTTGTAATATGACCAGGATGACCACCCAACAGGTCAATAGTACATAACTTAACCAAGGTGACCACCCATTAGGTTAATAGTACGTTACTTAACCGCGGTGACCATCCAAAGATCTATAATGAGTAAATTAAGTCGTTAGTTAGGTTTTTGATCATTTCATTAAGTTAGGTTACCCACCTTTAGAATTCTCAATATACTCCATTGCATTTGAGTAAACATTGATAAGGTTAAGATGGTTCTCTAACCAGCGCATCTGGTTTGTATGCCAGGGTTCCTTTAGCTCTCCTAGTCCTGGAATATTTCAGATTAAACTCAGCAGGGATATTTTTAAAAGGATGGATGAACATCTATTCAAATTTGTAAATTAGATCTTTCTTGGGAATTCAATACTTAAACTTTAAAAGGTATTTGGATTTTAAAAATAAAGGTATTTTTTAAATATGGAATGTAAATATTTCAGAAAAAGAAGAGTAGATGAGGTAAATAACAGATATTGAAGAAAAGGAAGATTAAAAGAGATATATCCAGGGTAAATTAAGGATATTTTGTAAGAAAAGGGAAAAAAGCTATATTTAAGAAATTTAAAATATAAGAGATATTTAAGAAATCTGTGAGCAACAGAGATATTTAATATAAAATATTTAAGAAGAGAAAAAAAAATTAAAATATTATAAATAAACAACAATATGTAAGAAATAGGGATTTAGAAAGAAATATCAGAGAATTAGAACTTAAGATATAATAGTGAAAAAATAACCTTAAAATTTGTAAATTAGAAATTAAATTGGTGTGATATGAATTATCTAATGGAAAAAATATTTTTATGAAATTAAATGTTTGAAACTTGATCATGTGACCCAGATCCGAGATACAGTGCCCGGATATAAAATATACATCCGCATCAAAATAAAATTATTGTTTAAGGATATAAGAATGCTCACAGGAGTTGCTGTGGGAAGGAGAAGGAGAATTTAGGTTCTGCCATCAGCTCCTGAACTGATATGTCTCCTCCTAATCCGGAATGAAACCTGGAAAGTATACAGATCAGAATCATACAACGAATCATCAACATATTTTAGGTTAATTTCAAAATGAAAACTTTATCTCAATTTAAACCTAAATAAGACAACAGGAACCTAAAAACCTAAGTACAGAAAGTGAAGGAAATGAAAACTAGAAAAATAAAAAAAAAATAGAAAAAAAAACTTAGAAATGTAGAAAAAAAATTACAGTAGCAAAAATAGAAAAGACACAAACATATATTAAAAATATGTAAGAACCAAAATTAGTTAAAATTGCAGTTATTTCAAGTGAACCTTCATTTCAATGTCGGATTCACAATGATACCCGTTAACCTGTATCTTAATAACAATGTGGAAGATATCGTTATTCTGTATATGTTTAGTTCTAACGATTTCTTGCATTGTGTCTGTGGCATAAATCCTCAAAACACACTCGAAAATAATCAAATTTCCCGGGGAGAAAAACAAATATTCCTTTTCTTATTCATCCTTAATCGTTAGTAGTGTGAAAAGGTTACTGTTGTGAATCGAATAGTGGGTCACTTGAAATCACGTGAACAGTCCTATTAACATTAATATACATCCTAGTATAATATGTTAATCCTTGTAATCGGACTGAAACATTCAACTAATAGAATCAATCCTGTTGTTATTTGAGATCTTGAACAATGTTTTAGAGGCTTTGATATTATCTTACTGTAATCTAGAGGAACAAACTGAACACCATTTTAGTACCAAGTCCAACCGCCGCGCTCATCGAGCGCTGCAACCAGGCCAAAATCAATTATATAAACAATAAATTCCAGAAGAAATGAAATTGGGTTCAAAGCTAGAGAAGAAATGTATTGGGTTCAAACCTAGAGAAAGAAATGTATTGGGTTCAAACCTAGAGAAGAAATGTATTGGGTTTAAACCTAGAGAAGAAATGTATTGGGTATAAACCTAGAGAAGAAATTTATTGGGTTTAAACCTAGAGAAGAAATGTATTGAGTTTTAACCTAAAGAAGAAATGTATTGGGTATTAACCTAGAGAAAAAATGTATTGGGTTTAAACCTAGAGAAGAAATGTATTGGGTTTAAACTTAGAGAAGAAATTATTGGATTTAAACCTAGAGAAGAAATGTATTGGGTTTAAACCTAGAGAAGAAATGTATTGGGTATAAACTTAGAGAAGAATTTTTTTTGTGGACACTCAGGGGTGGCCAGGGAGTGTCATAGGCTAAAAAATATTCGAATTTTTTAAAACATTTTTTTTCCCGGGCAACGCCGGGCCCTTCATCTAGTTGACGCATAAAATTATGAATTATATTTGTACCAACACAACCCCGATGAATCGTCCCCGGCAGCTTGCAATGATGAGTGGTGCTGTTTTTTTAAAGATTAAAGATTCAAATATGTAAATTCAGAACTACTTTAGAACTTCTGCTAAAACAAAATTGATGACGAAGTTTACAAAGTACTAAGTAGTGAATTAGAAACTAAATACGGTGGGAGCTATAAAACTGTGGAATAGCAAGACGACTGTTAGAGTCACTGTAGTTTCAGTAGAAGTAAATATTTCTATTTACTGATAGCGCCGATTGAAGGATTCAGAACTCTGATTGGATAATGAGATAGATAGAAAGATAGATGTTACCGCCATACTATTTCTATTGGTTCAGAATAGACAACAAACACATGACTGAACTCTGATTGGATCAGGCGCTAATGGACAATTAAAATCAAATACATATTAGATTCCTATTCCATAGTTTTATGGACCCCACTGTATTTTATATTTTTACCTGTAGGTTCGAACTGAGATATTTGAGTGAAGGAGAGCAAGGTTTGGATGCCGTGGATTTCTAATCCTGAACAAATTATTGAAATTATTTTAATTTTATTTCTTTAATTTAAAATGTTTTAATTTATTTCCGTCAGTTCAAGCTCGTTTAGACTCACTGGTATTAATAAGATGGGCATCGTATTTTTTAGACGATTTTATTGAACGAACAAAACCACTGAATGAACAACTTTACTAAACAAACATCATTATTGATCAAACGAAGTCACTTAACGGTCAGTTAGTAAACGAACGAAAAAGAAAGAAACTTAGCAATTGCACAGATAACGAACGAATTTAAATTTTGAATGAACGGTTTGAAAAAACAAACGATAAACAAACAAGTTGAAAAAAACGTGCCCATCTCTACAGTGCTATATACAGCTTTTAATAGTGTCCAAGAACCGTTTAGCTAGAGATAGATCCTAGTTTTCAAGAACTTTAAACTTTTCTCTTTTCACATTTTCTTGAACTTTCAAAACTTTTCAACGATCTACACATCAGTCTATGTAATTAGAAAATACCGGGGGAACCTATTTTACAGAATTGTAAACCTTTTAAACTAAAAGAGGGTCACATTTATTAGAATGCATCCCTTCCACATAATGTTAAACTGAATATATTCTTAACCCAATTCCTGCTGGGGGGGGGTCAATTTGACCCCCCCCCTGTAGTTTTTTTTACATAACTCAAAAAGTATTGGTCTGAGGCTGTTGAAATTTTCTGACTTTTCTTACATACCCAAAGCCCTCCCTTTTGGCCTAAAACCGGGCTTTAATACTAACTGCCTGAGTCCTCAGGCACACTGCCTTAATGACTGCTTTTGCCTGTAACAAACTAAATCTTTCTTTTGACCCACTTTCACTTGTCAGATTTTGATAAAATTTAGCTTTTTGGAAAGCCTATGACATAAGGAAACGGATTGCACAAGTTTTGCGAAAAAAAAATTGCAATTTTTTTGCAAACAACCTGTCAAAAGAAATTTGCACATTTTTAGTTTTTCTTGATTAAAAATCAGGTTATTTAAAATTTTGCAAAATTTTTTGCATATTTGAAATGGCATGGTCAAGGGCTTTTCAAAAATGTATAATTTTTCATTTTTTGGACAAATTTTTTTTGCAAACATTTTTACTATAAAACTGGATTTTGTGATAAAAAATTCAATTTTCGCAAATTTGCAATTTTTTTTGCAGATTCTAAAAGTAGAGCACAAGAGCTTTCTAACGATGTATCATTTGTCATATTTGGACCTAAAACATGGGATTTAGAGGGGGGGGGTCTAATTGACCCCCCCAGCGTATCCTGGTTTTCAAGTACCCCAGCAGGGATAGAGTTAAAACTCTGAAATACTTTTAATAGGTCTAAAACTTCAACAGTTGGAAATGTATAGATGAACATTGAACAAGAAACCTATATTCATCAATATATAAATTTAGCTTGTCTGTTGTTTGTATCCAATAAACGTCAAAACGGCTGAACCGATCGGGCCCAATTTTTTTGTGGGACATCACGTGACCACAGGGAAGGTATATGAATGAAAAAAATGTGTTTTAAAGGTTTTAAATTTTGTAAAAAAAATTAAATTCTTGAAAATCCGCGAATTTTTTTTTTAAATCCGCAACATTTTTTCTTCTTTGTTTTAAAATGTAAACAAAAAGAACATGTTCACAATTTAAATAAAAGAGCCTAATATCTTATCTTTATATCTTCTGACAAAAATAAATAATTTTTGTTTCGTTCTATCCTCTATGAAATATTTAACAATTTTTTGTATTATTACGAATAAACCTTTTGTAAAATTAAAATTTAAATAAAAACATATCACAGGATTAAGCGTCCCTTACATCTGATAAACATGCTTTAAATAGAAAACTATTTTGCTTCTTTAAATAATTTTAGAAAAATCTTACATCCCTAATATTTATATTCTATAGACTGTAGCTGTAGGAAAACCAAGATTGTTAAGCATTAAAATTCGACCCCTTTAAGTTTAAATGTGATCAAATCCATTAAATCTTTATATGAAAACTGATTATAAACTTAATATATAATTCTTACAAAGGAATTGAGACTTTGCCACAAACTAAAATTTTAGAAAAATCTTACATCCCTAATATTTATATTCTACAGCCTGTAGCTGTAGGAAAACCAAAACTGTTACAGTGTTACACATTAAAATTCGACCCCTTTTTGTTTAAATGTGATCAAATCCATTATATGAAAACTGATTATAAACTTAATATATAATTCTTACAAAGGAATTGAGACCTGTCACAAACTAAAATTTTCTAATCCCTATTTGCTTGCAACCAGATTGTGAAACTCTTTGATATTTCAAACTTAAATTTTTAGTTCTAACAGAATTCATAGTTTGAAAGTTTTAGGTCTATGACATTGGGTGGAAAATAAGAGTTTGTGGCAAATGATCAATTCCTTTCTTACTTGTATGAGATAGAAGATGGAAGACTATTAGTTCTTCTATGATAGCCCTGCCCTTGTGAGCCTATGATGCTGGTTGCAGGATTGTTAGTTCTACCCTGGTTTGTGTGGGAGGGGGTAGATTCAGTGGAGCCCCCTCCCTCGGCCTCCCCCACCCAGGAGTGAAGGGTTACAAAGCCCGCCCCCCGTCCATCAGGGTTAGGTGAATCCAACCGCAATCTCAACCGCTCTGAAAAAGATTTAAAGATTTAGGGATTGTAAACGCATTTATAGTGTAGCCTGTACATTGTACGTTCACAACGTTATCCTTAAAAACTTTGTCTGATCAAGAGGATGCATTCAAAAACAACGAAGAAAATAGTCAGAATTGAACACTTTTCAAACAAAAAAATATGAAAGCTTCCACATAATTGATTTTTATTGACTAGCTATTTCACTACCATAAAATAATGTGCACTACATTTTCTGCTTAGCTTTGCTTTAGCAGTACTGCGTTTGTTTACATTTCTCCCCCACACAAAGATTCAGCCTGCTTATAAAAAGTTTCATCCATTTTTATGACAGGGTCGACTCTGAAGTGTCGCAACGCCATGGGCTTAGGTTTTACCGCTCTAACTCACTTATGCTTTTCTGTAGCAAAATTCTTATTGATTTTTGCTTAAGAGCTTGAAAGCTTTAAATCACATGTGCCCAGAAATTACAGTACACGTTATTTCATGAGAAATCCTGTTATTCCTTGGTTTCTCCAGTGTACCACCATTGTGATTTCTTATCAGCAATATTTGAATGAATAGTTGATAAAAATCCTATATTTATAGCTATCAGAAACCTATTGTGTTCGATAACAAAGCAAAAGCCTATCAAGCCAATACTTTTTTTACTGCATCAACCAGGCTGAAATTTATCGGAATTTCGAATATTTGAAGATCAAATTAGCACTATAGAAGCTTTAGGAATCCAGGCTTTAAATAATCTTATAACATGATAAACTTTTTAAAACTTTAAAATCTAATTCTAATTCTCAAGTTGCTAACCAAATTAAACTACCCTCATTAATTTTATTCAAATTTTTACCCACCTGTTGGGAATATAAAAGCTAGGAAACGGAATATTTAGAGACATACACAGGTATACCCACCTGTGCATTGTCCTGCTAGATTTCAGGGTATTATATTCCTTACAAATAATAAGACTCATTTAAACTGTTCAAAAGCTATCATTTCGTAATTAATATTAAAGCAAAATTTCTATCATATATGATATTGTTTTTTCTTTTCCTATAGTCTGATTCCATTCATCATGAGATATACATCAACTTATTCAATACGTACATTTGAGACGAAATAAATACAATGGAATACAATTTTGTTCTTTATGTCTCTCCCACAGACAACTTGGTCCGAGGGATCCATGCGGGCTCCCCTTACAGACTCAGGGGAGCCGTTCCGCACACTACCCTCCGACAAATTATCATTTTACCACCTTTTGACCAACATACCAACCTATGAGTCCCCCAACAGGGGGACGTTAGGTTACTTAATGTCCCTTGGGACATTAAGGAAAATTACGACCCGCTCTGCGAAGTTTTCTTGAAAAAATTCGCGCATTTGCATCTCAAAAGACGAGAAAAGTCTGTACAGCTTCGTTTTCGGGAAATTAAGAATTATGATTAACCATGGGTCCCCTCGACCAATTTTGCCTACAAAACATTCCTTTCTACGCTCTAGATGTTTTGTATGCAAAATTGGTCTTGGGAACACTTGGTTCAGTAAAATTTCTTTAAATTCCCTGTAAAGTAGTTGTAAATAATCTTTTGGTCAAACTCATTAGTCCCGATGAACCATACACCGATGACAGGACACCGACATTTCAGTTGTGCAGCTAAATTTAATTTCCGTTAGAGAAGCGAAGAATCGGAAAATATATTGGAAATCTCAAAATCTATGATAATAAACTTTCGAGTCCGAACCTCCAGAAAAACAAATTTAACATCTTATTTTGACCTAAATATGTAAGATAGTAAATTTTGAGACTAAGAAAAGAAAATTTGAGGTCTGGAATAGGATTTATCTAAATAGATATGCACACCACTCATCCCTAAAAAATGTTGACAATTCGGTTTTGTACAAAAATCTCAACTATTTGTTAATAAACAATCAAACAGTAGAATTATTTGATATTTATTAACTTAGAGAAATGAAACGAAGAGGTAAAGCTTACCTCAGATGTACACAACCGACCTCCCTATTACTTAATTAATGGAATGGTCGGTTGTGTACATCATGAATCATGATATGTTTACGTATCTAATACTGTACACTTGTATATAGAGTGATCTCTTTTCTTGGGAGTTGTAAAATGTAGATAGTTGAATATTTGTATAGATAATTAGATAGACACTTAATATGGATTGTAAACACAGGATTGTATACTGCAGTACATTCCAGTTCAGTTGTTTGTTTATGTTAATAAACGTATGACCAAATATTGCATCGTGAAAAAATGCACAAACAATTCTTCTTGTAAAAATGTGAGTTTTTTCAAAATACCAAAACACTGTGCATGGTTAGACCTTTTAAGGTTGGGAGACTCCCCCGTATATCCCTCAAGTTGCATTTGATCAAACCATTTAAAGGAAGGAGATATTAGTCAGGGGAAAAATGCAATGTACATTTCTTTTTTATTTCATATCAGATGTCTTGAGTACTTGCACATCCTGTTGGTAAGGTTAGTTTTTTCATGACTGAGTATTTAACACACACTTTTCTTGCCCCCCCCCCCCTAAAATAATTTCACAAAATCCCCCCTAGTAATACAATTGTACAGTGGTTGTTACGTAAACATATCGTGATGTACAGAACCGACCACTCTATTAATTAATTAATAGAGAGGTCGTTTGTGTACATCTGAGGTATGCTTTACCTCTTTGTTATTGTTAACATAAAAATCAATAACAAATTATTCCGGCAAAAAAAATCAACTCAAATGAATAGTTTTTAAAAATTAGTATTTTAAGTAGAAAGTGGAAATTTTAGAATAATTGGTTCAACGTTTTTGTTCTGTTGTAAATTAAAATGTTCAACTTGAAGTTGCGCTTCTGTAAAAAATCTACCTGTCTGCTTCAGTTCTTGAATACTAGTAACTGCCTGTCCTAGGATAGTTCGAACCATGGAGAACCTTTCCCGTGTATCTTGGGCACAAATCTTCACCTACACAATCAATCAATCAATCAGTTGAGTAATGGAAACTCAATCGATCAATCAATCGATTAATCAAATAATCAATGAGTTCACTCGACAACAAAAGTTCGCCTCCTTTTCAAACCGACAATGATTAAAGATCAAGATAAATCAATCAATCAATCAATCAGTATTATTTTCCTGTTTAATCAATAAACTGATCAGTGTAAAAACAATGAGCTCAACAAATTAGTCACCATTGAACACTGATAAACAATTAATTAATTGATCCATGTTTAGTCAATTTGTACAATTAATTAATCAATTACTACGCAAAATCTAAATACAAATCAATCAAACACAAGATTGCCAATGTTATCTTATTTTTTCTATATATTTTTTACACGTTGATCAAATTCGAATTGAATTTCAGATGCATCAATATCAAATTTTTGTATAATGTAAGAGAATATTTAGCTTAAATTGTTGTTTTATAACAAAGTCTATCAATCAATAAAAAAATAATCAATATATTTTGTCTTCTAATATATGTTGCTGTTTAGTGCAGATTGAGTGCCCACTACCCCTTCCAGTTTGCAAAATGGTGAGTGCGCAAATTAAGAAATATTAATTTGCAAAACTTTAAAGATAAATAAAAAGTTCTTGGAAGCACAATTTCAAAAACTTTTAATACAAATTGGATCTTTTTCTATTAATTTAATTCTTTTCTTTTCAACATCTTTTTTAAAACCAAAAAATCAATTACATCTTAAAAACTTACTATAGATAATCAAAAACCATCATAATTAGGAAAAGTTCAAGACTTATCAATAAAATAAATCTGCAACTTCACAATTGATGAAATTAAAAGAAAATTTGAAGGGATTAAAGACGTAAAATGGACTGAAAAATTCTAACATTTTGTTCTTACTATAAAATTATAAAACTACCCAAAACATTTTCATTATATCGAAAGACAGTCTCAGATTTTTCATTTTAAATTTTCATTTAAAAATTCATTTTTTCAGTCTAATATATATTTGTAAAGGGGTTGGTGCATGTGTCCTATTAGATGAGGGGAGGGGGGCCCTTGCCTTCATTTTAGTTCAAATCTTACAAGTTTTTGGCTGCAAGCCTGATTTTGTAATAATATAGAATTGGACAATAGTGACCTCTAATGACCTCAACAAATAGAAAATGTTTTTACTATGGCTTTATGCATAACAAACAACAGCTTGGAACCCAGGCAAAACATAAAAGAATTTAGTGTTTGACCTTCTAATGACCTCCAAATTAAACAATGTTTAAACAACTGTGGCTTTATGCATATCAAACGAAAGCTAGAAACCAAAAACAGTAAAAGCAACGAATCCAGTGTTTGACCTTCTAATGACCTCTAACGATCTATAATGACTTCCAAAATGAAAATGTTTTAATTCTATGGCTCAATCGAAACCCAGGCAATGAAGTATTATCAAAGAAAGTAGAAGCTGGGTGTTGTTGTTCAATGAATAGGGGGATGTGCTTGGCGGGGAGGATGTCACTACCCCCCCCCCCCGTTTGATATGCATAAAGCCATAGTTAAATTTGTTCAATTTGGGGGTCACAAGAGGTCATTTAAAGTTCAAACACTGAATTCTTTGCTTTTACTGTATTGCCTGGGTTCCGAGCTTTTGTTAAATATATTTTTTAAGTCCTCTTTTAAACATTTTCAATTTGGAGGTCATTATAGGTCGTTAGAGGTCATTAGAAGGTCAAACACTGGATTCGTTGCTTTTACTGTTTTGCCTGAGTTCCTATCTTTCGTTTGATATGCATAAAGCCATAGTAAAAACTTTTTTATTTTTCGAGGTCATTAGTGTCCATTTTTATTTCAACATTAAAAATAAGCTCCCTTAATAGGCATGCAGCCAAAAAATTGAAGATTTTAATTAAAAATGAAGGCAAGAACCCCCCCCCCCCCTCATCAAATGGGACATTTCTACCATCCCCTTTATAACTTTGTCAATCCTAGTTCACAAATTATAATGCTTTGGTATAAAAACTAAAACATTTGCTTTTGAAGTTTATCTATCTATCAATCCTAAGTTCAAACCGCTGATGTTAAATATTGAATGCATGCTCATATTAATGATTCAAAGATTAACAAAATTTCAACCTCTTCTGAAATTTCACAACATTTCAATTCTTCCATGCAAAAGTAATAATAATTTTCCCTTAAAGGGAGTGACCGGCTATATAAGGTAATTGAACTGAGTAATGCAGTGTTGTCGAAAACTTCTTTAGGATTCATTTGAGACATATTTAACTTTTTAAAGATCTGTAAATCCTGAGGTTGAGCGCAAAGTCGACGTTCAAAATCGTAATTTTGAGTGGATACGCTTTCAGAATTAGTTTTTTTAAATTATTAAATAACGACAACGAAAAATAAAGTAAAAATTATACAGTAATCTAATTAGATGGCTAGGAACATATTTCACAAAAGAAATTTGTCAATAAATCAATGCTAAAATCGATTATTTCGTTTTCATTATTATATTGAATTTATAATTTTCTTTAAATTCATTTGCAGATTTCTTCAAATTCTTTAAATGTCGTCTTTTCAATAATAATTATAGAAAATCTGCGAACATCTTTGTGAATAACGAGAAACTAGAATAATGAGATAATAGAAACTAATAATTGAACAAGATTACTTATTTTCGATGATAAGATTAATTTTCATTTTCTCAAAATGTTCCTAAACATGACGTCTGTAGTTTATTGTAGAATATTTTTACATTTTATGTCGTCGTTAATTAATAATTTTAAAAAACGAATTCTGAAAGCGTATCCACCCCCAAATCAGGAGTTTTGAACATCGAATTTGCGCTCAAACTCAGGATTTACAGATCTTTAAAAAGTTTAATATGTCTCAAATGAATCCGAAAGAAGTTTTCCACAACACTGCGTCCTCAGTTCAACTACCTTACATAGCCGGTCACTCCCTTTAAAAAGATATAAAAATATAACATTTTAACATCAAGTAGATTGATTGAAATTTGTAAAACAGTGATTTTTGTGAATAATTGATAGGCGGAATCCGCCTAGATGCAGGGTGGTTTTTACTGCTAACTTGCATTTATAATATTCAACCTGGACCAGGATTCAGGGCCTCTACATCTGCTCAAGGTTTGAATATTATCAACAAAGATCGGAGCTAGCTGGGATTATTAGGATTTTGCAAAATAGTTCTGCAAACCTGAAACTAGAAAACAAGCACTTTCAACCTTTGAAATAGTTATCTACAAAAATTTCCCAATATTTTTTTTTTCTTCATTTTTTGCTTTCTTCTCTTTATCTTATAATTTTTTAAACCCTTCCCTTCTTCCTTGAGACGGAGTTTATTCCACAAACTCCGATTTTCTAATTCATATGTCTTTGCAACCCAAAGTCTAAAATCTTAGATATTTCAACTGTGAATACTGTTGGATCAAAGAATCTAAGTTAAAAATAACAACGGTTTACGCCATCAGGTTCCATGGATATAGGAATTCGAAAATTTGAGTTTGTGAGAAAGAATCAATTCTTTAACATTTAAAATGAAAATACTACCCCCCCCCCCCCCCCACCATTATATCTTCTTCTTTATTCACCTGTGTAGAGTCTACAATATTATCAGCTGCTCTAAATAGACCGGTCAACATGAACATGGGATTACTGGTTCTCTGAAAAAAAAGAAAATATTAGATTTCGAACCACAAGCAAATAGAGAAAATTCTAGAATCAATCTTAGTGTCTTAAGAATTTTGAACGGCTGTAATTTGTAGAAAAGAGAATTACAAATAGCGTTACGTTCGGCTTGTTGTGGTTTAATTTTATTTCGTTGATTCAGTAATTTTTCCTAATTTTTCTATATCTCTTATTCACATGAGAAGATTAATGTTTAATTTGCAATTACCCAACAAAAGTTTAAACAGAATTTAAAAACGCATTTTACGTGAAAAGGACTACCATTGTGAAGGTTTCCAGCGAAATCGTTATTGGAGTTTTTTCCTTCGCGAAAATATTTTTCGTGTTTTTTTCCGCGATATTTCTCATCGTTTTCGATTCCTGTCGATAAATTCATTTTCGCAAAAAAAATGCAAAATGCCCCGAAAAAGTTTATTACGAAATAAATTTAGCATTTTTTCGCGAAAGTTTTCGTTCGCTGCAAACCCTAATTGTAACTTGTTTTCTCTTACCTCGACTATTTCAGTGTTCATGTAGAAACACCAGGGTTCAGTACTCAGGTTTCTCACATATACAACAAGTCTAAATATTTACAAATAAAATATTATTATTTCCTCGAATTCTATTTTTGGAATACCTTATCCCTGTCCCACACCAGAGAAAAATCTGGCGAAAAATTGACCAAATTTTTCCAAAAACAAATATTTTTCATGCATTTCCTGTAAATTATTTCGCCCTTTTTTACAAATCGACCATGCATGGAGCAATTCCATTTTTCATTTATCCTACTGGCTTCAAAACTTCTTGGAGGTTCTGTACTCTACCTGGTGGATGGGGTTCTGTACTCTACCTGGTGGATGGGGTTCTACCAATTGCATCACAAAGAAGATTATCACAGATATAAGCACACTCCAGTACAGGCGGGGCTTCAGGGTCTAAACATTTTCACATTTTTCACCAAAACTCGTAAAAATTAACTTTTTTAAAATTATTGTAATTTGGAGGGTTTCAATCTTTTTTTCATAAAAAAAGACCATAAAACCAAAAGTCAAGTTTTTTAATCCTTCTTCTCGGGACAAAAAAAAACATTCTTTAAAAGTAGGTTACAAAAATGACAAAAGACTTGATTTTAAAAAATTTAAAAAATCTTACCAATCACAGAAAGTTTAATTTTGGGAATGTTAAAGTGTGCGTGGATTTGTCCATCAAATTCAGCAGATACAGCCAACAATCTTTTCTTCAAGTTCTCGAGATGCTTCCTAAATAATTATTTTTTTAATGAATATCATAATACCGCTGCTGGAGGAAGATAAAAAAATTTACTTGAATTATAATCAAACTATTTCCGGAAAAACCACCGTTAGTAAAAAATGTCATGGAAAAATCATCAAATGAAAATAACTGTCATAATCTCATTGGAAAACCCGCAAAGTGAAAAAACGGCACATGAAAATAACTTTCTAAAGGGCTACAACTCCACTTTAAAAAAATGCCCATGGAAAATTGGCCATTTGATAAAAACGTTCTTAGGGGAAAAAACTTTGAAAACAAAAGCTGCCTTATGAAAAAACTGCACCTGAAAATAACTTTCTTTGCAAAAAACTTTTCTTTGAAAAACTACCCATGAAAAAACTATCCTTGCTCTAAGCCCCCCCCCCCCCCCCCCCC